ACCTCGAATTTCTTTAATGCTAATGTCAAATAATTAATGTCTAGACTAAATTTGTGATTAATAGAAGTGAAACACGATATGATATAAAATTGAGTTAGGGTAAAACGCTATTTTAACGTAATTGATCTAGAATATGAAGTTCTGAAGTAGAATCTGAGTGTCTATCAGAGTCTCTTTCAGATAACCTGATGCTTTCTTTTATATGTAAAAGGTACATATATGCGCGTGTATTTGTGAATGTGAGTGCCTACATGTACGTGTTTGCGTTGTTTGTGTACGTGTGTGTGTGTGTGTTAATATTTGTTTGTGATTACGTAGAAAATACCCTGTATATACATACTTCTGCGTATTAATTTCAATATCTATAAGAACTATGTATAAATAATGCAGTTTATATATCTACCTCGAATTTCTGCAATACTAATGTCAAACAAATAAATATCTAACCTAATTTTCTAAATTGTCTTTATTTATGATGCATAAAAAAACGTAAAAATAAGCGATACAAATTTATTTAAATTAAATGCGAAATAATGGAAAAGTTATTATTATCACGTTTTGAGAGGCACATTTATGATCAAAATTGCATATAAATATTATATGGATGTCCCGATAAAAACTTTTATTCACTCAATTTTCTTTAGCTACTGATTCTTTTATCATTACATTTATTTGATAATCTTTGGTATTTTAATAATTTTTTAATGTGTACTTACTCATCTCGGCCCTGAATACTTGTGGAATGTCTTCTTAAATGTCTTCGTAAATCTTCAATACTTGTTAAGAAAGATACTGTTGTGTCACAATTATTACATTTCGCCTTATATCCCGGTAACTTCGAGTAATATTGTTCCAAGTCGTCAGGTAGTGTGCAAGTGTCATTATTGAGAGATATTCCATGTTTTTTAAATAAGTGTACTCTCATTATTTTTATGCGATTTCCTATGTGAGATACCTTAATTTCTTTTTTACAGGTTGTGCACTTTACCAGTGAGGGATTCAGATCCTCGAAATAATTCCAAAAGTTGCTGCGTTTTCTTTTCAGTGCCATTATAACCGTCCTGTAATACATATTGTCTGGTATTAAATGTAGTACAGTGATCGCCTAAAAAAGCCTGTTTTGTACGATTATCACTTCTTTTTACAAGTACATGGGAATCATGAAAATCCAAAACTTTCGATGTATAAATTTGTAAATAAAATAAAAATGGACCATATAATTATTTAAAATTTTACATATGTAAGTTATATACTTGTGCAGAGAGCTCAATATTTAAGTATTTGGATATCATTACATTGTATAATATTCAAAAATCGAATAATTACTTATCAATTGTGCTTGCTTCTTTTCTCGTTTGTTCAAATGATTGAACGGACGAACCAGATGATTCTTGGCTTTGACATTCTGCAGTAGGATTCGTATCAAAACCCGTTGTAATTGAAGTGCTTGGTCTGCATTGAAAAACGGTGCAATTAGAAATTGGTATTATTTAAAATATTAACGTTATAAATTACTCTCTTGCAAAATAACTCTTGCAAAAGAGTAAAAATTTAAATAACAAGACATTATTATATTGCGTGATATAAGAAAATAATTACTCATTAAGTGCGTCTGTTTTTTCTGTCGTTTCTTTCATACATGATTGAACGAGCGAACCAGATGTCTCTTGATTTTGACGGTGTGCAGAGGGATCCATAATATCAGCCGCTAAACTTGAAGTGCTTGGTCTGTATAGAATAGTGGTGTGATTAAAAATAGAAAAAGTAATAATTATTAAAATAATACAAGTGTACATATTACTTAATGCTATTATGTACTTGTTGGCAGTAAACCGCTAATGGAGTGAAGTTTTGTAAGTGAGAATGAGAAGGAGAAAGAAAAAGAAAGAGATAGGAAGAGAAAGTTTTATACCTCGAATTTCTGTAATGCTAATGTCAAATAATTAATGTCTAGACTGAATTTGTGATTAATAGATAAGTGAAACACGATATGATATAAAATTGAGTTGGGGTGAAACGTTATTTTAACGTAATTGATTTATTCTAGCTTTAGATGAGATGAAGAAATGTACATAAATTTACACAAATAATATTATATTAGTTTACCAAAATCCTGTCCTGAGACCGTAAAATGGTGTATCCTTCTAATTAAACTTATGATATTTTGTACGTTACAATGACATTTTTGAGAAACATCTAAGGCAGTTAACGGGTTAATATGAGTATGCGTTTAAACATAAGACGAATACCGTCACCGTCAATTATAACGGTCAAAAATGATAGAATGTCTTCACGAAAAATTGTAGATAATGTCAGAATAAATTAGGTTGGTGCTATATATATAATAATAATCTCAAGGGTAACGAATAATCAATATCACTATGCTGACATTTGCAGATCTATAACGTATATTCAAATATTATAAAAAACCGTTCATTGTTAGCTAATAGAAATTTTTATTAATTAATCATTTAAGTAATATGTGGATGGCATATTTGAGTTGTGCTATATAGATTTTATTAAACAGAGCTATTTAATTTAAATACTGAATTTGAATAAAAACTATGTATAAATCATACACTTTATACAGCATGTTTTTGAAGTAAGTACACAAGCTTGAAGAAGATATTCCTTGGTTTATTTTAAGAAGAAAAAGTTTTATAAACACGTATTCTAAATTACTTTGTTTTTAGAACACATGGTGTTAAAGACACACGCCCCAGGTAGATTTAAAAATTTTTCATCGGTACTAGAATATATAATTCTTAATACCACATATACGCATACCAAATTTCAATAAAATGCCTTTAAACGTTTTCCAGATTTTCGAAATTTTCATTTTTTTTTTTACAACTTTGACATTCTGTATTTTGAAAATAAAGTGGTTTAAAACACATGTTTAGAGGACCTTTTCTTCTTAAAATTAGCCAAAGAATATCCTCTTCAAATTTGTGTAATTACTTTTAGGAAACACTCTGCCTCCAAATTCTGCAGTATTAATGTCAAACAAATAAGCATCTTAATCTAAATTTCTGAATTATTTATATTTATGATGCATGAAAAACCGTGAAAATAAGCGATTCATATCTATTTAAATTATATTTGCGAAATAATTAAAAAATAATCATTATAACGATTTGAGAAGCCCATTTATGATCAGAATTGCAAATGAGCATTAATAATCTTTGATATTTTAATAATTTTTTTATTGTGTACTTACTCATCTCGACTCTGGATTCTTGTTAGAAGGATTAAATGTTTTTTTAAATGGTCTCGTAAATATCTCGAATTTCCAAAGAAGGATAATGTTTTGTTACAATTACTACATTTTGCCTTATATCCCGGTAACTGGGAGTAATATTGTTTTAAGTCGTCATGTAGTGTGAAAGTGTCATCATCAGGAGATATTCCATGTTTTTTT